ATTTAAAGCAAACAATACAGTTACATTCATCACTGAGATCTTGTACCTTTACATGATGCATCTTGGTTCTTATTTGTCCCGTTCCCCTGCCCTCCCTTCACTCCCTTCACCCTTCCCTATTTACAAACAGTTTGTTTCCATTTTTTCCTTTTTAAACATTTTTTCTTTTCCCTTATTTCCTTTCCTCTCCCCTTCCCACTTCCCCTTTGGCCTTGAATTTTCAATTCTCATGCCTTAGCCTCTTAAGTAACTGGGATTACAAACATGTGCCACCATGGCCAGCATTTCATTAATATTGAAGCTACTTAACGGATTACCTTGATCCTAGCAACAGAAAGTCTATTTTTCATTATTTCTTTTACTTCACTTCTCTATTCTATGCCTCAATCCCCAAATAGTTAACCAATAAACTTTTTTTGAAAAAAAATGGATATAGGGAAACTCTGAAGAATATCAATCAAAATCTTCAGGCTTATAGGAACAGCTGGTGATCTATGGATAACACTGAAACTATGTCAAGAGAATTGATTACTGCAAGAATTAGTGATTAGCTAGGTGTGTGGTTAAAACCTGTGATCCTAGCACTATGGGAATCTGTGGCAAGAAGATGCCAATTTGAGCTCAGCCTGGGTAATTTAGCAAGTTAATGAAACCCTGTCTCAAAATAAAAATTTAAAAATGGATGCAGATATAGTTTAATGCAAAGCCCTGGGTTCAGTCCCTAGTAACTGCCCCCTAGGAATTAATGATCATTCTAGTGCCCCCCCCCGTCTATGGCTAAAATTAGACTCCTCAGTAAATCTTTTGCACCTGCAACCCTGAGACAGAAGAAAACAGCCCAACATTCCCTTGTTATGGCATGTGTCTAGATGTCCCCCCAAAGCCTCATGAGGTAATAGGTGGGGATTTATAGAAGTGGCTGGACATAGGGTGTATGATACTGGGATTAAGAGCGTTTGATCACTAAATTAGTCCATTGATTGTCTTGACATAGTTCTAGGTATAGATAATGGGAAGGCCCACTCTGGGTATAGGTGGTACCACCCAAAGTGCTGGTAGCCTGGAAGGGATAAAAGGCAGAAGAAGCCTGATGCTGCTGCTTCACTGCTTGCTGCCTTCTGTTTTGCTGCCCTCTGCCCACTATGATCTATTTCTCCTCTGTGATGCCCCTCTGCCATGCCACTCTGCCTTGGAGCCAGACAACTATCAACTGAAACCTCTACAATAAACCTTTCCTCCTTTAACTTTGGGTGGCGGCTATTTTATCTCAGCAACAAGAAAAGTAAGTAAGACACTTCTCAAGAGGTTGGGTTTTTTTTTCTTCCTTTTTTTCTATGGTTGGGCCAAATATGACTACATCAGATGGTCATGGTTACTCCTGGAGACATTTGCTTTTACAGAAGCAAGCATTGATCATGGGTCCATCCCAGATGACCCCACCCTGCATCTTCTCTGGATGATTCTGCCCCTTTGCAACTATCCTTTATCAGGTGCACACAGAGTCTCTCCCCTGCCCATCACTAAGCAAAAAGTCTGACACTGCACATGTATAAAACTGCCTTTTTCTTTTATCCAAGCAACTTCCCCACACACCCTCAGTTGGTCAGTTCATGAACTGTTCCACCTTATGCTATAGAATAAGTTCTCTAATAAAGCCTCTCCCAGAGAGCATATTTTTGCCTATATGTGATTTCTATCTTGTGTAAAGCATACACTAAGAGCCAGTAACACCAAATGCTACTGGTACCAAAAGTAGCCAGCAGCTGGGGCTGGTAACATTGAGGGTGGCTGGCAGCAGAGAACAAAAAGAAAATAAGGAAGAATTTCTGGGAGCCACCATCTCTGATAACTGGGAGAGTTCCTGAGGGCTGTTGGTAGCTGCTGGCTCCGCTGGCCACGAAAGTGGCAGAGTGCTGCTAACTGCAAAAGCATCAGCTCTTGAGAGCCACTGGCATTCAAGGTTCAGGGCTGTTAATACTAAAAAGAACTATACCTTGTTTATTTATGATTTCTATCCAAATTGATAAAAAAAATTCTGAGCTTGTTGGTGACAACCTCTAAGAAGATGGAATTTCTGTGACAACCCTCCATTTTGCACCTGGCAGCTTGTTGCCAATAAATCTCTTTCTTCCCCCTTCACTCTGCCTCTCAAGCCATTAGCTTCATCAGAGAGCAGCAGAACTAGATTTCTCATAGTTACATTATGAATGAACAAATTCTAAAAAAAAAAAAGTAAATTAAGTCCAGATGCAACTCAAGCAAACAATATACCATAATGATGCCATGATGATGCCAACAATGCTTTAAATATTAATATTTGCAAATCAGTCAACATAATTTATTATATAAGTATGTTAGAAAAGCCACATAATGCTAGCAATATAAAAGGTGTATTATACAATTCAATAGTCCTTATTGTGATAGCCAGCCTGACTCCTTCTTGTGCCTCAATGCCATTTTGTATCTGCGCTTGGACAAAGTGCTTGCGCTTGAACAAAGCATCCAAAACCCCCACATCCTGCTTGCAGTTGCAGGATGTTTTGTAGCTCACCTAGTGTGTGTGAAACTTCCTTGTGCCCTCCTCCAACCTGGCATGGTTCTGCTTCTGTAAGATTCCGCTTGCTCTCCCCTGAGCCCTCCCTAACTGAAAGCATGATTTAAAAGGAGAAATCAGAACACTTCCCCTTGACCAGGAAACTTTCTGAGCACTAGCCCCTCCTCGGCTGCTGGCTGTAATAAAGAGGCTCGAATCTGGCACAGAGTGTGGTGCATCTCTATTGTTCAAACTTGCTCATCCATAGCATTATACAGTATTAAGGATAAAAACTAGTAATCAATGAGATCAGCAAAAATAAGTCTGAATAATAACAATAAAACTATTACAAATAACTAAAAATAAATTTAACCAAGATGAGGGGTTAATACAAAAATATCACTGCAACATATAATATGAGGCATAAGCAAATAGAGACACATTAGCTCTCTAGGTAAAAGGCTTAATGTAATTAAAACATTAACTTTTCTCAAACTATAATGTAAATGTACTATAATCCCAATCAGAATCACAATAGTTTTCTCTTATGGCTTTCTTTTTTTAAAGCTTGAAATTTGATTAAATGGTTTTAAACTTCAAAGTGCTCCTAGGGAAGAAATTAGCAAGAGCAAAAATCCTTTGCTATTTAATAGATTACAAAGGGATGTTTTCCTGTCAGATTCCACTGGTCATTTCCCTTGTTTGTACAACATCCTCACCATAGATTTTATCTCGACTTGCCTCCTCTTTACCCTACTTTTAAAAAGCTCTTTTTTATTTGGCTTTAAGATGCTTACAGATTTCTGAGATGGGAATGGTGTCTTTACTGAAATAATCTCTTTCTAATGGAAGCCTTTCCCTAAGTCTGAATTTGTTTTTATTTGACATAATAAAATAAAGCTTGATCTTATATCGCCTACCATGCAACAGAGTAAATTCTAATTAGATTAAAGTTTTAAGTAGAAAACATGAAAACAGCAAAACAATGAAATAAATGTTAATGCTATCTTTCCAGAACTACCTGGAATAGGAAAAGGGAACTATACAAGACAGTATATAGAAAAGCCATAAAAGCTTTGACATTATTGATAAGAGACTATATTTTTCTAATTACATATTAAAGGATAACTATAAAATGCAAAGGACAAGAATAGTTAGGTAAAACATTACAATGTAATTAATAAAAGGTTAGTATCACTAATGTACAAAGACCTTCTATAAATTGATATGTAAAAGACAAATCAGCCTCCCAAAAAGTGGATAAAGGACATGAAAATTGGAAGAAGAAATCTAAATGACCAACAAACAAAAAAATATTAATTGCAGATCAACATCTGGTGCTTGAGGAAATTTGCCTTGATAAACACATATTTTGCTGGTGGTAGACTGAAGAAAAAACTAAATAAATTCTCTAGCTTAAATTGCTTTATCTGGGCTGGGGATTTAGCTCAATGTTTCCGCCGCCTGACTTGCAAGCACAAGGATTTGAGTTCAATCCCCAGTACAAAAAAATTGCTTTATTTACTTTTATTTAACTTTTAAAAATCACTAATTTTGAAGATCACACAGCTGAGCAATATATTAGTCTCCTACAAGCTTTGATGGGGATCACACCTCTGATGTGTGGGTCATGACGATTACAGTTGTTTAGGTTATTTTTCAGGGAATTGAAGGTCACTTTTGTCCAAAACTCTGCCTCTTTTACTACTTTAACCTTTAGATCAGAGTGTGTCTGCCTGACTTTGCATATAGACATGTTATTCATTGAAGTAATATTTTCCTGGAACTGGTAGAACAAAAGTGATGTACCTAAAACTTCCCAATATTTCTTCTCCCCAGATCTCGATGCCAAGGATAAGTACAACATTTTCAAGATTATATGGTCATCATGACTTGTGATGATGTGCATACCGACAAGTGATGCCTAAAGTGTCCAATCATCAATCCTTTCTTAACCTAAGCCCCCTCTTTTCACTCTAGCCTAGAGATAAAAGGAGCTTGAAAATTGTGCTGAGTCAAGATGCCTCTTTTTAGGATAATAGTGCACTATCTTAACAGTTTTGTTGGCTTACCAAATAAATCTTTTTTTCTCATCCCAACAATTTTTTCTTGATTCATTGGATCCTTTTTCTAGCGAATAAACTAAATTGGGTTCAGAAACAGCAGGGGTAGGAAATGTTACAAACTTCTGCCCCAAATAATTAGGCTATATTTTATTCAACAAAAAAGGTACTCTTAACCTGTACTTAATAAATAATAAAACTTCAGCTGGGTGTGGTGGTGCACATCTATAATCTCAGCACTCAGGAGGATGAGGCAGGAAGATCGCTGTGAGTTCGAGGCCATCCTGAACTACATAGCAAGACCCTGCCTCAAAAAACCAAAAAGAAAATAATGGTAATAATAATAATAAAACTTCAAAATCTATGAAGCGAAAATGGATTGGCACAAGGAAAACTTGACTTACCAACAATACAGTGGAAGATTCTCTGTCTCTCTTTTTCTGTAAGAGTTAATAATCAGAGGAAAGTCATCAGGAAAGATATATACATTTTAAATGGCCCAACTAATAGACTGAATCTAAAAGACACAGAGAAAACACTACTTGGCCCTGTACTTTAGACTCCAGACAAATTTAAAATTTAACATCATCCAAACAACATGCTTAGGCCACAAATCAATTAGGGGAGAAATTACTGACATAAGAAGTAACTTTTGTGTGGAGAAATAAAAAGTGGTGTCAGGAGTCAGGAGTGGTGGCACACACCTATAATCCTGGCAAAGAGAAAGCTGATGAAGCCCGAGTTCAAGCCCAGCTAGGTGCTCAGTGAGACCCTGTCTCAAAAAAAAAAAAATGCCTTGCATCTTCCGAAGAAAACTTTAGCCTCAACACTTTTAGCAGTAGGTACAAGGAAACCAAAAAGGTTACTGTCTGAAGTTTGAAACTGAGCTAAAATGCTCCACCACGGAGGCTCCCTCTACAGGTCTCGGCTGCCTGGCACAGAACCACCTGGTCAGGTTCAGTGACAGCCGAGACGCCAGGCATTTCCAGAAGCGGGAACGTTCCGCAGCCTGAGTCCGACAGGGCCGAAGCTCGAAAGACTCCAAACGGCCTCGTGGGGAGCCGCAGGCCCTCTGCACGAGCCACCTAATCCCGAGAGAAGTGCGGGGCGGGGGCGAAGCCTGGGCCTGGAAAGAACGCCTGAGGCCTGGGAAGGCCAAGCCCGCCTGCGGGAGCCTCCGAGTTAACTACCCCCTGGAGGCGCGCGGTGGTACAGTCCACGGTCTGGCGTCTCGTCCCTAGGAAATCCCACAGTGGGGGGCGCTGCTCAGCCGTAAGGACTACCCTACCAAGATGGCGGCTCCCCTAGAGTCACTCCCGAGGGGTCAGGCATGTTCCTTGCCCGACGACGACACTGAAGAAAATCGGAAAGCCCTCCTCTCGTCCGACACACACGCACACGCACGCACCGACACAGAGTAAGTGCACCAGGTGTAACGTGGGGCAGCGGCCGCTTCCAAGATGACTGAGCATGTGCAGTGCAAGTCCAGAAACGCAGGGGTCGCTCGAAACCGTTCCAGGACGTAAGGCTCTGGAAGTGAATTTAAAGGGCGTATTTAGGGCCGGTGGAGCCCCGAGATTAGATAATTATGGGAGTGTTATGACTTGGATTTCGTACTGAGTGATGGTAACCTGTGGGGTGAGTGATGGGGCTTCTTTGAGGTCATTTACAGGAAGGTGCAGAGAGTGGGTTTGTGAGTGAAGGTTGGGCTAAGTGGTAGAGGTCTGTGAGGTGCGGGTTTGGGTTTATTGGGTGGGTGGCCAAGGTTTCTGTTGGGTGAGAGATGCGTTTATTTGGGACCAGTGATGGGGGCGGGACATGGGATCGCAGCTTCCTGGGATTAGTGATAGGCGATCTTTATGTCCAAGATGAGGCTATTTCAAAACCTACTTTTCACCTTCTTTATCATTAATTTCTGCCCTTGACTTTATTATTTCTTTGGGCTTTTATTTTTAAATTACTACATTGAATGGTTATCTTATTACTGTCCATTTTCTTTTTATAAAGCATTAAGTTTATCAGGTTTTTTTTTTCTTTAAGAGCACTAGCTACATGTCACAAAATTCCATATGTAACATTCCTGCTATACTTCTGGTGCTTTGTTTTGTTTCTTTTAGTGGTGCTGAGGATCGAACCCAGGGCTTCATGCTTGATAGGCTGGGTCTCTACCACTGAGCTACATCCCCAGCCCACTTCTTGTGTTTTCTAATTTCTGTTGTGGTTTTTCTTACTCCTTGTTATTCCAAAACTTTGGAATTTTTATTACAGATTTCTAAATTGCAGCCTGAGACTATTTTCTGAATGGTCATTAGGTACAGGGGTGAATGTTTTTAAGTTCATTACGTGCCACCAAAGCATTTTCCAAAACTTTTGTGAAATTGGAATTGCCACCACCAACATATAAAAATGATCATTCTGAGACTCTTTCCCACAATGAATGTTGTCACTTTTCCCCCCTCATTCGGAGCACCAAATAAGAGAGATGATATTTAGTTTTCTTTGATATTCATTTTCCTGACAATGAGTTATTGAACATTTTTCCTATTTATTTACTATTGAAATATATTTAAAGTATTGCTATCTTGTTGCCAAGATTAATGAAAATAATTTGGACATTTAAAATTTGAAAGTGAAAGGCATTCATTCATTCAAAAAACGTTTATCGAGTATCTATCCCATGCCAGATATTGGATTTGAAACCCTGATTGGCCACTGATCTTTTCTTCTCTAATAGCTTTATTGGTATAATTCACCTGTCATGAAATCTACCCATTTAGCCAGGTGTGGTGGCACATGCCTGTAATCCCAGCACTCGGGAGGCTGAGGCAGGAGGATCCCTGTGAGTTCGAGACCAGCCTGGGCTACATAGTGAGTTCCAGGTCAGTCTCAACTACATAGTGAGACCCTGTCTCAAAAACAAAAACAAAAACAAAAAAAATCTACCCATTTAAAGCTTACAGTTTCATTATTTTTTATATTTTCACAGAATATGCAACTATCACCAGAATCTAATTTTATAATATTTCATCATCCCAAAAGGACACATTGTACCCATTAGCAGTCATTCTCCATCCCACCCCCTCAGCCCCAGTGATGGGCAGCCACTAACTTACTTCCTGTTTCTACACATTTGTTTGTTGTAGATATTTTATGTAAATGGATTAATAAAATCTTTTATGACTGTCTTCTTTTGATATATTTTCAAGGTTCATTCCTGTTACAATATGTACCAGTACTTCATCTTTTTAAAAACTTTTTTATTATGGTAAGAGCACTCGACATGAGATCTACCCTCTTAACAAATTTTGGTGTACACTGTACAGTGGTACCCTGGTACTTATTAATTGGTTCTTGGAAGTATGCTAAGTACCAAAAATGATGAGTACAAAACTGTTTTGGCAGGAAGATTAGCAAGTCACGAGACAACTGACAAGTTCTAGCTTGTGCATCAAGTACCAGACAATGAGTACTGTAGTGGGACAAAAGTTTCCTGCCAGAATTCAATGAGCACCAAATTTGATGTGTTTAAAAGAAAAAAATATGAGAGAATGAAAAGATGAAAATAAAGTGTTTGTAGATGGGGAGGGGAGCTGTTTTGGCAGGAAGATTAGCAAGTCACGAGACAACTGACAAGTTCTAGCTTGTGCATCAAGTACCAGACAATGAGTACTGTAGTGGGACAAAAGTTTCCTGCCAGAATTCAATGAGCACCAAATTTGATGTGTTTAAAAGAAAAAAATATGAGAGAATGAAAAGATGAAAATAAAGTGTTTGTAGATGGGGAGGGGAGGAGGGGGTGAAGGGAGGGGGGGGGGAAGGGGAAAAAATGAGAATCAAGACTTGTCATGTAGAGGTACAAGATCCAAACAATGAATGTAACTGTACTGTATCCCTAAAATGTACCAATAAACTCAATTAAAGCTGAAAAAAAAAAGCAGTTGAATAGCAAGGTATGGCTGTAACTATATTGTTAACTATAGCAGATCTTTAGAACTGATTCATCTTATATAACTGAAAATTTATACCCATTGTTGTGGTTTGGATATTGAGTGAGTCCCCTAAAAGTTCATATATTGGAAGCTTTGTCCTCATTATGGTGGTATTAATTTAATTGCACCTTATAAAATCATGATATGATATAAAAATTAAAATTTGACATTAGTATAAGATATGTGCTTAGTTCTGTGTCATTTTGTCATGTGTACTGACTCACTTAACAGCCACCACAATCAAGATAATGAACTATTACCTTTTTAAGTCTTTCCCTCACCACCATCCCTAACCCCTGATGACATCATGTGTTTTCTTATCTCTAGAATTTTGTAACTTTTGAAAATGTTATATAAACAGAATCATATAGTATATGATATTCTGAGATTTTTTTTTACCCAGCATAATGTATATGAAAACCATTCACACTGATGCCAAGAGCAATAGTTCATTTCTTTTTATGGCTGAGTAGAATTCCATTCTACAGATATACTACCATTTGTTTAATCATTTACCTATTAAGGTATGTTGTAATTATTTCTACTTTGGGGCTATTACAAATCTTACTGACACAAACAGTCTTGTGTAATTTTTATGTACACATAAGATTTCATTTCTCTGGCCTGAATGTCCAGAAGTACAATTGCTGGGTCATGTGTAAAGTATTCTAGTTGTTAAAGAAATTGTTAAATTATATTTCAGAGTGGCTATACCATTTAACATTCCCCCCAACAATTTGTGAGTCATTCAATTTTTCTGAGTCCTCTCATGTATTTGGTAAAGACCAGTAATTAGGGAAAGGAAATAGTTAAAACTTAGCACTTAAAAACATCACCAGTTCTAAATGTGTTTATAGTTGAATTTTAAAGAAGATAATGTCTTATAGTAGTCTAACACATAAAAAGATCTCCTAAATTTGTTTTTATTTTATTTTATTGCTTAATTTTTATTAATATATATTTGCGATGGATAATGATTATATTCACTGTGAGGAATTGGTACATGTATGTAACACATCTTAAATGAATTCTTTCTAAAATGGCATAACCTTGTGGGGCATGGTGGCACATGCCTATAATCCCAGCACTTGCGAGGCTGAAGCAGGATTGCCATGAGTTCGAGGCCAGCCTAGGCTACATGTTGAATTCAAGGCTACTCTGAATTACATAGTGAGACCCTGTCTCAAAAAAAAAAAAAAAACCAAAAACGCATGACCTCAATACCAATGCTTGTTAAAGTGATTTTGTTTCTGGTGCTGGGGATTGAACCCGGGGCCTAGGCACTGAGGTACATCCTCAGCCCTTATTGATTGACTGATTGAGTGAGAAAGTCTTGCTAATTTTAAGTTACCCAGGCTAGGCTCAAACTTATGACATTCTTGCCTTAGCCTCTCAGATTGCTGGGATTACAAGGTGTGTACCACCTTGCCTTGCTCCAACACTTGTTAAGCATAGTACAAAAGCAATTATGGTTTTAAGAATTCTTGGTATTTGTACTGGTTTTATTTGCATATTTTGAGTAACCCTAAAAGTTTATGTAATTTAATCCTTCTGCATTGTATGCTTTATTAAAAGAGGCCTCCCTTGTTTATTAATCTGTTGAGTGTTTTGGACTTTAATTTCTACCTTAGTAATTATATTTCCAGGCCCACTTTCTTGCATTGATATATCATATATTTTTAAATCCTTACTGTAAGTCATGCATAGTGGTGCACACCTATAATCCCAGCATTCTGGGAGACTGAGACGGGAGGATCAGAAGTTCAAGCCTGGCCTTGGAAACTTAGAGACTTAGTGAAAGTATCTCAAAAATAAAAAAGGCTTGGGATGTAGTTAAGTGTGAAGGCCATGGATTCAGTCCCCAGTTCTGCAAAAAATAAAAATTTGAAAACAATCTTTATTGCAATATAACATAATATAGGAAAACATACACATTATGCATGTTTAACTTGATGATTTCTTTCATACACCAAACAAATCTGCATAGCACAACCTAGAGGAAAAAGTATTCATTACTAGCTTTCAAGAAGCACCCCCCCACCACCATTTGTGTTCCTCTCTAGCTACCAACCTTTTCCTCGGGAGTAGCAATGCCTTGACTT